AAGAGTAAGGTGTGAGTGTGGGGTGGGGGGGGGAAGTACTGGTGTCTGGTTTTTAACTTGATAAAGAGAAGGATGCTCCCTGAATGAGACAGTGTGGGAGAGATGAGTAGTTAGAAAGAGATTGTGCTTCATGCCACTGAGCTATCTGTAGCTATTGCTGTTATGCAGCTGCAAAAGAAAAGGAAATGCTAGGGGCAAAAGATAGAAGAGAATCTAAGGAAATGGATATATTTTGCTAATCCTTGCCTCTCATGGTCATAATGGTTAATCCGTTGCAGAATACAAAACGGATGCTCGTCCCACTTGCACTTGCTTGTGAAATGGGAGTTAACTGAGGCTAAGCTGTCTGGAGCACATGATTGTACAGCACCGTGGCTCAATCTGCAAGTCATAACCACAGTCAGGAAATGGAAAGGATAGCCAAGTTGTATGATGCAACTGATGCAACTCAGTCTGTGTGCAGAGGACCTTGTATGTGTAAAAACCATGTCAAATGACTCAAGGAATATTGCTGGCAGGCACCATGCTAACATCAAGGCAGAGTTGTAGCACTGTACAGTTTTGACTCTTGGAGTGTGGATTTTCAATTATTGTTTCTAAATATCTGGATGTTCCTTCAGAAGGAAGGATGTGACGCTCTTTGGATAAATATTTGCTATTTACCTTCTTGATGTACAGCCTTGATATTGACTTCATAAGCCTATCCTTGAATTTGGAGAAAAAAATTTCTTTTCCTGCCTCCTTTAATTAAAAAAGATAAGGAGGATTCCTTTTGGGACAGAGGATTCTCTACTGTATTTTTTTTAGACTATCACCGTGATTGGTTGAGCAGAAAAGCAGAGGAAGCCCAGATAATGTGGGCTTTTAGTACAGTATCTTACCTTATCTAGCAACAGTGCCAAAGAAATACTTCCAAATTGGAATATTCATTCAGATCATGTCTGATCTCCTGAAGAACATGGAGCAGAAAATCTTTCCTAATGTTTCTTACCCCATCCCAGTGATATTGGTTGGAGTGAAATCTACATAATTGGAGCCCATTTTGACATGAAGATTGGAGGATGCCTGCTTCCATCTCTTTTCCCTTGATGTGCTTTATTCACTGGCAGCTTGAGCTGTCATCAACAACATGAATTGTCGTTCCTCTTGGCGTAACTGCAAAGGACTGATTCTTTTGTCTTTACATATACCAGTTGCATTAGATACTTGATGAGGTCTGAATTTCGGTTTTTGAATTTCCTTTTGCTAGCTATATGGTGCTTTGGTTGTGTAGTTGAGTACAAACATAGTAAGAATTAATCAGCTCCTTCAGGCTTTGGACACTGCTCAAACAGCCCTTTCCAATCACCTTTGTAAATCGTTCTGTGGTCCAGCTCTGACGTGGGTGCTGAATCTCTGTGGTCAAAGATATTGCCTTAAAGATACCTTAAAGATACCTTAAAGATACCTTAAAGAAGGTTTAATATTCAGTGTGAGGACATACAGTTTATCTTCCCAGTCACACTTAGCCATCCATCAGAACTGTGCCATAGTACACATCACTAGGTTGTGAACCCTTCTAATCTGAACATGGACCTGCCTCCGATTTGTAAATCCAGTTACTCAAAATCAAATCAAATGCAGAACCTTTACTCAAATGATGCAGTGTTCCCATTAAGGACCTAAATTTGGATATTACAAACATTTAAGTTTCTTAGCTCTGTTATCTACCTCCTTAGCCTGCAATCAACCTTTATTTTATTAAGCCAGAATTTATTTCATGTGAAATTTATTTGAAACCTTGTTCAAAACACTGCCTGCTATTTATTTCTCTGTGATGTAGTTGTAAAGCACAGTAGTTATTTCTCAAAGTGTATTTTTTTTTTCTGAAGAACCAAACTTGATCAAAGTTAGAGAAAAGGAGCTTATGTATGCTTTGATTATGAGTGGATTGTGGGTAATAAACTAAATATATGGATAATGGTGTTTGTGGTATTAAGTTGAGTATGTATGAAGCAAACCTATGTCTGAGACTTAGTGTGGAGTTGCATGGCAATTTGGTTACATGACAGCTGCACCGTTTGTTAGCCAGAAAGACTCAAAATGATAGTTAGATTGAAAATTTGGCTTTCAAGAAGAACCACTTCACTATCTTTAATGCTTAACTAATGAACAGATTGATTTCTAACTTATCTCAAAATTTAGACCTTTTTCTGAATATAGAAGTTGTAAATTAGGAATAATTTCCTTTTCTTTCCCACACAGAAGAGAGATGTAATCCACACCATAAAAACAAATTGCAGCATGACCTTGAGTATAGAGTCACTACCTACCACATCATAGTCAGGTTAACAAATCTAATTTGTCTTTCATTCTATTTAATGTTAGGAATTTACGTGTCATCAATCACCTGCTTCCTGTTGGGCTGAAAAAGCCAGGGAGACTGCCAGTTTTGTCATATGGCAGCCGAAATGAATGTGTTGACAGCTGAAATTGGGAAGCACAAAAATGTTAGAAAAAGGTTTTTGGAAGAGCCAACCTGCTTTTGAGTCTCAGCAGCTCAGTCTGGGTTAAATGTGAGGGGAGGAAATTGCTTTATTAGCCTTCCCTGCTGGCGAGGCTGATCGAAAACTGTGCAGGACAATCCGTTTCTGTTCTTTAATTTCAGCTGATTTTAATACTTTATTTAGTGGCAGTCCTTCCTCTTCTTCCTCAAAGTTTATACTTCCTCTCTCTCTCTGTCTTTCAGCTGTACAGCTCCATGGACTTTGGAAGAAAATGGCAGCTCATGCATGAGCGGGTCACTCCAAACAGGTTTTATTGGTGAGTTATGCCCTCAGGCTTTGCTTGCTTTGGGCAGGTCATAGAGGGGATAAGGGCATCTAACTTGAAGGGATTGGTTGCTTTACCTGAACACTAAGTAAGCCCTTGGGTTTGGTAATCATCGATGTTATATACTCAATCCATAATACATATTTTGCAGTGCTATAGCTGAATGTCTCCATGCTTGTACCTGTTTCTTATCTGATAACAGTGGTATCTTGTAGACAAGCACAAGTCTTTTGATAATTGCAAACCTCCTGCTTCTTTGTTATATACCTACTTACTGTAACACAGAGAAACTGCCCAGTACTTCAGTGACAAAGTTATGATCATTAGACCTCCTATTTTTCAACCCTTCTGAGAGCTGCTTTAGCCTACAACACAGTCTTTGTGCAGAGCCAGCCACTCTGGCCAGTCTCCTTATGCAACCGTTGGGAGAAAGGATGATTCAGACTCTGCTTTGAATCACTCTCTGAGGAGCCAGTTTCTTTCTCCTGACTGGTGAAGACCCCAGGATCTGCAAACAGTTTGTTAAAAATCTGCTCTGTGACTATCTTCCTTTGCATTTCCCAAGCGTTGGCCTCCAAAATTGGGAGTGTCTTAAAACCAGATGATTAGACAAATTTAGTTCCTGTCTCCAAGCTCCTCCATTTCAGCTGCCACTTTTCCAAACTTCTCTCCACCATGTGAAGGCCCAAGACTTGAATTTAGAGACAAAGTGAAAACCCAGCAGTAGTCTTCTGTAGTTGAATCTAGGATTTGGGGCTTGAATCAGATTCTTAACGCTGTACTACATGCCAGATGATGATGATGTGTGTGTGAACATGTAGAAGTGCTGATTTACAGAATCTCTGAATAGTTGAAGAAGTGCCTGGTCCTTAAGGCCAAAAAAGATCATAATATTAAGTAACCAGAGGCTCTTATTTTGAATAGTTAAAAATAAAAAGGACTTGGATGACTTAAGAATTGACTCCCAATTGCAAAGCATGATGTATATATCTTAGAGTCAAATTCTCATAGAAATTCTTGCACGTCATTACAAGTACCTGGAATCCAGGTCCAAAATATCTATAGATTGGATTTTCAGTATTTCCACACCTTGCAGTGGATCTAGACACCTCACAGGATTTTCAAATTGTCTAGGTCCTTCTGCAAATCTCACTAAACAGCTTTAGACTCCCACATTTAAAACAAGGCTTTTTGGCACCAAGTCTAGAGATTTCCCTCAGTGTGCCTGTGGATTTTGGACAATGCAAGAAGGTTTTTGAACATCTAGGAAAGCAAGTTGTAAGGTGCCTAAATCACATAGACCCGCAAAATGTATCAAAGATCTAGAACCTTGTCTGACCATGTCACTGTTTCACATTTCCTTAGTGAAGGAAAGGTGGTTGTGTTCTCCTGGTTGTGGTGGCAGGTGGTTGATTGACCTAACTATCCAAAATACTTTGATTTCACTATTCATGCTAGGTGCACATGACAAAGATTAGTGTAGATCCTCTCCAGGTGTATCTTTCTGTGGAGTAGAATAGCGGGTCCTATAGGATAACTGTACCCTACTCTTCAAATAGCACAGTTGAGCTTAGGGGAGAGGCTTTCTTGGAGGATAAAGTGCAAGGGCTGACCTGACTTGGTAACAAAGCAGAATCTCTTTCTGAAGGAGAGGCTGTGTTGTTGTGTATTTTTTTCTACTTTTGTATAATAATGGTTAATGGAAATTGCCTGTTTGTCTGTCCATTTGACACCCAAACCTGTAGATTGTTTTCCACAATCTACCTCATTTTTCGTACAACCTTTTGGCTGCATAGTTTGAATGCTGCTTTTTAACACTGCATTATATAAAGCCTCTGTTTCAAGTGTCTCTTTCTCTTACAAAATGTAGAAGTCTTCTATAGTTAAAGCTCATATGGCATAGACCTAGAAATCTTTATTCTACTCAGAAACAGTAGAATCCCACTGACAATAAACTTTCCAAGAGAGTGAATTAGATTTTTCCCAGATTGAGAGAGATTTGAACCAATTCATAGGGCAGGGGTCAGAGATATTGAAATTTTGGAACATAATAACTCCCCTTAGCTGTCTGATTTCTTTCTTTTTTCCTTTCTTTCTCTTTAAAGATGCAAACTGTGGTGGCTTACAAGCTCTGGCTTGTAAGATGTGTACAGACAAAGAAAGCAAAGAACACTTTAGCCTTGGGAATTCGGTGATTTCTTTTTGTTAGGCTATGAAAGAGGGAGAAAGTGGGTATAGCTGTAAGTTTCAGAGGGGCATGAGCCACTACTCTGTGGAGTTCATCAGCCTATCAAATACTACATTATCAAACCTCTTAATTAAAACTTCCAGGAAAGGTGAAATAATAATGATAGGGAGATGCCAAAACCAGAGGTAAGCTGCTCATTTGTGCTGCTCTGCACTGTTTATTAGTAGGGGCTCAGGTAAGCATCCTTCATCAAATGGGACAGCCTTCATCTGATTTGAATGATGATGGCTTTATCTGGGGAAGCCTTTGTCAAATTTTTTTGCCTTCAAAGCATGACTTTCATCACTCAGGCTGCCGTGAACGGGCTTGTGAAGACTATAATCTTCACCTGGTTCATGGGATCACTCAGCCTGACAGGCAGAGGTCTTTCTTTTTCTCTCTGAGACCTTTCCAAATAATTATACCTTCCCTGAGAGAGCTCAGAGATAGAGACTTTAAGGCCAGGAGAAAATTACGATTGCATCAGAACTTGTGAGGTTGGGATGTGAATTTTCACTCAGCAGAGTAAGCAAGACCTCTTTGTTAGTCATGGACACAGAAGTCACTCTGTGCATTGCATTTTGCTGTAGCTCTGGCAGGCAGCATCTGTGATGGATCCCTACTGGTCAAAAACAAAGTACTAAGCTCCCATCCTGATCTGTGGCTTTGTATCCTGGCTGTTGCCTTTGACTTCTTTCCTTAGTCCCAGGTGTTGGTGCTAATCACTGGGTTGTAGCTTTGCATTCTCATCCCGTACGGATGTCACATGTTCCCGCAGTTTATGGAATGTGTCTCATCAGTTCCTGTGGCCAGCTCAAAGTTTGTGCATAAGCTGAGATTCACCTCTGGGTCACTCATAAAAACTAGGATTTGAGATCTCTACTTCTGTAGTAGTGATTAATTTGTTAGCTACACCCACTGATGGCAGTGGCAGAGCTTGAACAGAATGTGTTACTTGATGTGAGTACAGGCATCCAAATTTGGCTCCCACATGCATTGGCCTCAGAGATTTTAATAACTTAGGATCCTGTAAGGCTGGAAATAGGAGCTTACGCTAATGTGATACAGAAATTCCCAGATCACTCATCACTCTGAAATTACTCAAGATAACTGGAACCAGCATGGGTGCAAAGTTTGTTAAGGACCTACTCAATGTTCTTTTCTTTTAGAACACATTTCTGCAGCTCCCTCTGGGCCCTGTTCATTTTCTCTCACTGTAACTTAGACACCTGTGCTGTCATGTGGAGGGATATAAAAAATACAGTCCGTATTTTGTACTGTAGAAATGTTGGGGAAGTTTCCTTGTCTGTAACACACTTGGTGTGTTCTATGCTGACTAAATACTGTCTCTGTTCAGATAAGAACTCAAAGGACCTTCAGTTGCTTTACTGCCCTTGCCTTTTCCTGTGGTGGGACAACAGGACTTAAGCAGGTGGGCAGGACAGTTTGGTTAATGGAGCATTTGCCAAGCCTTGTTCAGCACTTTGCCGGACCACAGCTTTTCCATGTCATCTTGGGTGACTCGAGCTGACTTTGCTTTGTTACTCCCTAAGAAAGACTGGGATAGGAGAGCATTTCTTTTCCTTGTTGAGTGTAATGGGTGAAGTACTCAAATATTGCGATACCAGATGCTACAGCAGTGGATTAAGAGCACTGAAGGGCACTAGAGAGTTAAAAGATGCTTTAGTAGCATATGAAGTCCTTTTATAATTTTACAGCTTAATTCTTTAAAATGTGGAGTTCCACAAGGTGACCTATGTTTTCTGGCTAACAGCTAAACGGCTGTGAATGTCATCCCCTGCCCATCTGTCTTTGGAGGCTCTATGTTTGTTGAGCAGACACAGGGATCTCCATCCTGTGCAGAGGACAGAGCTATACTCCTTGGGACACCCACTCCCTTTCTTAAGGTCTCCCCGGGCTGCTCTTTGCTGGAGGACTCATTCACGTTTCCTGCCTCCCATCATCACTGGGGAATATGAAGCGGTGGATGTGGGACTATTTTCCATTTTTGTTGCATGGTACATCTAGCATCTAGACATTTATACTTCTCTATCTTTTTTTTTTTTTTCTTTTAAACATTCTCACTGGGACTTTGGGTGATTCTGTCAAAGCCCAGGAGAGGGAAAACACATTTGTGTGGAAGAGAGGGAGAAATCTGCACAGCATTTAGAATCATAGAATAGAATCATAGAATCGTTTAGGTT